CATTTTTAGTGCAAAGAAGCGAAAAGATCTTTTGTCCGAAATAGCAATTTCGCGTATCGCATGTTTAATGTGATTTGCAGATTAAGGGAAACTGTATCACTAAGGCATTAGTTATGTCTTGTCTCCTTTACCTGGTCTGCTAGTGTTGCAATTTTATTTAAGCTTCAATCCCCGTTTCCTTCTGTCACCCTTTGTTATTCTGCTACTCTTTTATGGTAAAAAGCTCCGGGGGTCAAATTCTTGTGCTGATTTGATTCTAAGCCCGGTACAAATGACTTAACCTACAAGACACTAGTCGAATTGCTAGAGGTCCTCCTGTCTTCATTTTAAAGAAAAATTCTATCCAAGAAAAGATGGTAATCAACTGAGCTAAACATCTATAGAATGAGATATTGCAATTGTAAAGTAGGTTTCATTAATCAGAATTTATTCTTGACGTGATGCAAGTGCACTTTTTAAGAACTGGAAAGAAATTTTATTTTCCTAGGTAGCAAAAAGAAGGAAAAGAGCAATAACCAATGTTGATAAAAGATAATTACTGATATGCAAGCAATTGTGTCCATTTGTGGGAGCCAACAGAGGTGGCTACTGGGACCTCACTCATTTACGAGTGCTACATTATCTGCCACTTTTGGTTTGACCTATAATTCATATATTGTACGTTCATAAGCAAAGTGATTGATGGCCTCTGTCCTCCAAATTAATTGGTTCACGCTAAGTAATTAAGCTTTTTGCACCCACCAATTACTTGATAGCTCCTCCATGCAAGTTAACTTGACAGGCCCTGGACCTGGAGTTGAGGAGGAGTTCAATAGCAAAGAAAGCGAAATGACAGATAATTATATCTTGACCTCATAACCAACAGCTAGCTGTAGTAAGTACAATCATAACCCTGATAAGCAATATTTTCGGCTTAGATTTGTCAGTTGATGAATCATTATGGGGCCATATCTGTTTAAGAAACAGATAATGAAAGACCAAGGGAATCCCACTTCCCCAGTTTTCTGAGCAGAGAAAATATTGCAGCTGCATGCTGTTTCTGGGAAAGTGTAGCCCACGATTTTGAAAAGTAGGAGTTCCAACAAAGCAGAGGAAAAAAACCAGTGGTTGTGATGATAAAGATAGTACAAAATATATATTAAAAAAAAGTCCGTAGTCCGTACAACGAAAGGCCAGAAGGAAAGTGTAGTGGCCAATCGGAGGATCCATGGCCGCTCATATAGGGATTTTGATATGTTCAAACATGGAAATGAATCGGAACCAAAACCCCAGAATTTGGTCGGAGTTGGAGGTAGTTGGACCGACAAAAACTGCACCATTTCACATGGCTTGGGGGGTGTCCTGGTAGCCCCTTTGCTTGCTTGGCTGCCGTTGGTTTCCATTATCATATTACTGATTAAAATTTTTTTCACAATATCTTTTTTATATCTTTGACCATAAAATCTTTTTACTTAGCAATCAATTTGATCGAAAATGGAAGCAAAAAATTTCAGGAATTATTGGATTCATTTTACAGCTTCAGCAGACCATATGAAAGTGAATCAAAAACAATAAAATCCCCCCCCCCCCCCCCCCCCCCCTCAAAAGCTGTAAAGCCACTATCTTAATAATATACTTTTGGGCATACATTAATCACGGATTGATTCCAATGCCTTTCTTTACTAGGCAGATAAAGCATAAGTCTTTGTTTATTTTCTTTTCATTGGAAAGAGTATAATTTATGTACGCATTACTTAATTAAATTCATTCATACATTTATTTTAAAAAATTTAAAATTTAAATATATACACCTTTAATCATTTCTCTTATTCTTAAGTTGCGACATATTTCGTAAAATATATATAATTTATTTAATTATTTTTCTAAGGCTTAAACTTTTCTCTACCATGGCAAAAAAAAAAAAATCCCTTTTCTTGGTCATTTTTCTCTTGCGTCTTCTTTCTTTCGGATATGGTAAGCTAAGTTTATATACATAGCACGGTTAGGTTAAAAGCTAGTTGATCATGATTAATTCAACCCTTTAACCAAGAGTGGTAAGAATTCCGATGAAGGCGATATTGTCCCTCAAATTAATTTCTTTCAAGGATCAATTATTATAGATTGCTATTATTTCACAATGAAAGGGCCACACTCTTGAAATTTTTGGAAGGGCCATCTCATTTTCATTATCAATTCTGGAAATCAATCATTCATAGCTAAATCCATAAGTAATTATTATAATATTTCTATGAACTTTGGATCCGGGGGCCATGCTCTTACAAAGCTATTTAGAATTAGTTCCCAACTATTTCTTTAACGACTGATGTACACAAAATGATGGAACAATATGAAATAGGAGTGTTTTATAATTTAATTTTAATTGAATTAATTGATTGAATTAATTTATTTTTGTTAATCAATCAATCACCTAATTAATTTTGGTTGGTTAATGAAAATGATTTTAGAAAAATTTTAGTTTTCAATTAATTTAATTTAAAAATTAAATTAACTAAAATTTTAACTGAAATATAATATAATCAAAATATAAAATAAAAAATATATAAAATAAATCACTTAATTTTATAATTTGTTCGAGCTTTTATCATAATATTTTAGTAATTGAATATTTTATTAAATAAATTTATTTAGATTATTTAAAATACCAAAAATTTAAAATTTAAAAAATAATTTAATTTAAATATATTTATTATTCAATTAAACAAAAATATTAGTTGAATTTAATTCGATTAATTAATATTTAAAATTTATAAATTCAATTTGATTAATGAAAAAATTAAATAATTTAATTAATTTAATTTTAAATAATTCGATTTAAAATTAATTTAATTGATTAACTGAAGACCATAATCTGATGAATTAAAGTTCTTATAGGAAAAACAGTATATAATATATAATAATTTATAATAATTTCCTTAGAGTAAAAAAAATTGTAATGATTAAAATCATAATTGTTGTCATTAATGTTGCTCAAATTAAACGAAGAGATAATTGAATAAAAACTTAATTCAAATATAATTATTTTTAAAAAAATAATATATAATAAAATTAAATTTAAATATTTATTAAAATTTTTTAATCTTCAAGGTCCATCCTCTTATATAAAAAAAAATAAAGTTAATTAAAAAGTGTAAATGTTCAAATTTTATTATTTTTGGTTTTACTTTAATTTTTATATGATAAATGAGAAAATGATGGGAGTGAGAGAAACGAGAACGATGGAATTTAAAAACTATAAATGTGGCAGGTCCTACAGCACTGCGGATGCTGAAAATCAGGATCTTCAAATGTCGAGATTAATTGTAAAAGCACCTCAACTGTTACATTGAAAATTAAACAACTCCTTCATCAATTTTTATTATTATAATTTCGATCGGCTACAAACAATTAATTAATTATGTAAAAGTTTTTTTTTTTTTTATAACTTTAATTGATGTATAATAATGATGCCCGAAAACGGAATCAACAAGCTTTTTGACATGTGAACATCCCCTGCTTTTCCGGTCAGTGGCGGTTTATATGTAAATAAATAAATTATTATATTTTAAAAATTTTTAATCAACATTCAAAATATTACTTTATTATTATATTAATTTTTTAAGTTTATATTTAATATATTATAAATGTATAAATTTTATATATTATTAATAAATTAAATGATGTTATTTTATTAATAAATAAATATTAATTTTTAAAATACACATAATTTCTTTTTAATTTCATTAATAAATTAGTATCATCTTAACTCGATTTATTAATAATATATAAAATTTATACATTAATAATATATTAAATATAAATATATTTTTAATTTTAATTTTAATAAAAAATATGAATTTTTTTTCTAAATATTCCAGGTTTCTTCTCTCTATTGCAAGCTAAATTTTGTAAATTGATGAGTTATTTCAAATTTAGTTGGCTCTCAAACCCTTTCAACTTAACACCTCAATTTGATTAAAATGGTATTTTCTTGGTAATAAAGACTATAATGCTTTAAAAAATGACATTTTTGCATAAAATTGAGATATCTTTATTTGAAGAGAAATGATTATATATGATTAAATAGTGATTTGTAGCTTTTGTTACCTAATATTCAAAGTTAACACTTTTGTTTCCTCTATTTTTTTTCTTTTGGTATTTTTTTTTCCAAAGTTGGTATCTTTTTCAAAGTGATTTAAAATTCCATTTCCATAACTTTTACAGCTCACAGTCCTTGACCAAACTTATCTAATTAGTTAGTTAATAATTTATTTTAGTTATTATCATCATAATTAGTAAACTAAGATAGTTTTTTATATAAAAAATATTACAAATAAAAAAATAGATGATAGATTATTAAATATCATTTTTAAAAATGAATTTTATGAACTAATTGAATTAAACATTCAGTAAAATAAATAATTTGATTATAAAATCCATTTCTCACACCAACATAAGTAAAGATTATATATTTTTTTCTTTTTTTTTTCATTTCCTACCAATGGAAAGTCTTTAATTTTAATTTATTTGAGACTTAAAACAAAATTAATGGAAGCATAGTAGTTATTAATGACACAAAAGGGTAAATTGAAATTTGACCCACATAGTTTAATGAAGCTAATATATTAGGAGTAAGTTATAATGATGTTTTTTTCGTCCCTCGTTTGAATTTAGGTTTATGGAAAGTATAAAAACTATTAACGGAGGAATGTCTTTTTCAAAATCTGAAAATTACTAAAATAACCCATTATTTTTTTTATGAATAATTGCAAAGGATGGAATTTGTTTAATTATATTTCTAATTTCAGTCATGAGGAAATGATGATTATGATAAAAAAAGAAGAAGATGTTTTTAGTTGGTGGGGCCAACACCAACAAAGAAGCCCAATCTACGGCGGAGAGGTATCAAAGTGCGGTGCCACGTCATCGAGCATAAATATTTCCATATCTGGCACACACAAAAATTACCTCGAAAAGTTAAAAAAAAAAAACAAACAGGAAAAATCACCGTCAACAATATATATTTTACTCCGCTAAAAGCGACAACGCCTGACGCACGCCCACCAAGCCGCACGCGCGCAACCCCCAAACGGTGAAATCTTTTTCCTGTGGTGAACCAATTTTAACTGTCCGCTAATAGCACAACACCACGCGCGAGTTCACTCGCGCAACGACTAAAATTATTATTACCAGGCCTGATTGCCTGAGTCTATTATATGTCGGCTTGTTTCGCAAATTATATTAAAAAAAGAGAAGAAAAGAAAGCTGTTTTTTGCTCTGCTTTTGTTTTGCTTTGCTTTGCTTTGGCTTTGGCTTTGCCTTTGGTTGTCTCTCTGATTTCCTGGCGACAAGTCTGTTTCCTTCTCCTTGATCCCATAAAGCATTTTTTTTCATTTTTCTTTTTGTTGGATTCTAGAACCAAAACGGTGAGCTTCAAGTGATGCGCAGTTTTGAAACCGGTTCTTAACATTCCATGCAGTTGGTTCTCTACGGTTCGGCTTTTTTATTCCGATTCATCGACGGAATCTGATTTTTGTTTTGGAGAAGGAAATGCATCTTGTGATTGAAATACCGAACGAATCAAAGCTTGTTACGAAGCTAACGAAGAGAAAATAGCTCAGAAAAGAACAGAGTTTTGGCGTTTGGTTTTCTTTTCAAGCTAGGGTTTTGGTTTCTTTGTGATTTGAATGTGAATGGAAGCAGCGGCGGCGTTCCCTCAAGCTCGTCTGCAGTAATTTTCCGACGAAGGGATGTTGCAAAAATGATTTTTTTTGGAAGGTTTGAGGTTTCATAGCTAAAAGAGTGGAAGTAACTCTATGGTGAAGAAAGTTGATCTCTTTTCAGTGTTTTGTTGGAGCAAAACAAGTGATTGGATTCCTTAAAAAAAGTTCTTTTTTTTTTTTTTTGAATTGACTCAAATTTGTAAGCATGAAGGCTTCACCAAATGGATTTTTGGCAAATTCTGCTGAAGGTCTGATTTTTCTTACCGATTTCTTTTTACTCTGTTTCAGTTTTTCCTTTTTTTTTTTTTTTCAACTTTTGCGTCAAAATAAGTCTTTGGGTCTTAAGCAGTGAGAGATTTTCTTAATTACTAGTATATATTTAGTTGTTTATGGATTTGTTTTTTTCCGATATTATCCTGATCCCACTGAATTGTTGTTGATTTAAAGAAATTATCATTTTGTTTTATTTTTGTTTTAATGCTCTACATCTGTTCATGACAAATGTCATATATTTTTTGAGAAATTCTATAAAATCCCATTTTGATAAAACAGGAAAGAAGCAAGCAACAAGACTAAAAGTAAAAGTTATTGTAACTAAGTGGCAACAATGAGGAAGGTTTGGGTTTGGAATCATTTATCACTTTGCAAATTGGAGTTTTACATGAAAATTGCTTGTTACAATTGGTGTAGACATGAAAACGTGAAATATATTTTTTTGTTTGTTAAACTTATTTATAGTTTTTGTTAAAATTTTAAATCGTGTCATCTTCTTATCTTTATTCCTGTCGATTTTGTGTTGTGTTTTTGATTACCTGGAAATTGGGGCTTTTTTACTTTGGGACTATGAAGTTAATTCTTACCTTGTCTATTATTCAATTTTTTGGAGAATATGGATATTGAAAAATTTTCAGTAGTTGATGCTTTTAATTATTTTTATCACTTTTTGTAGTTTTGTGGGATGTTTGATAATATTCTGGTTGGTTTCGGAAAGCAGGAGAAAGGAAGAGTATCAATTCAGAATTATGGCATGCTTGTGCTGGACCACTTGTTTCTATGCCGCCAGTTGGAAGTCTGGTGGTTTACTTTCCTCAAGGCCACAGCGAGCAAGTGAGTCGCTTTCCTCATTCATTCCTAAGGAATAATTGTTTCTGAATCTGACCTGCTATGAAATTTTCTCTTATTAATATATTTTTTTCAGGTTGCAGCATCAATGCAAAAGGAGACTGATTTCATACCTAGCTATCCTAACCTTTCTTCCAGGTTGATTTGCATGCTCCATAATGTCACATTGCATGTAAGCAAAAGCAAGCCACCATTATCCCAAGTTCTTTTTTTCAAAGTCATTATGAATTTTGTCCATTTATCTCAAGATATATTGTGAATGCTGCACCATTGGATTGACGATATCCCTTATATGTTAGACAATCTTTACATTAATTGCCGAGTCATTTTCTGGCTTAGGTGCTTGGTGCATCCATGTGCTCAACCTGATAGTTTAGATAATATGTGTTTGCATGGACTTCTTCCAGGAAGTTTTTGTTTGGTATTGAGTCATACTGCAATAGGAATTGGGATCCTGGATAGTGTATGCATGAACATAACTTTGTCATGGTCAGAATCATCTAAAAATACAAGGAACGTTATGTGATTCTTTGAAGTTGCTAATTTAGTCAATTATTTAAATTTTGAATCAGGCTGATCCAGAAACTGATGAGGTCTATGCCCAGATGACTCTTCAACCTGTAAACAAAGTAGGTTAGCTACTCAATTTGAGAATTAATCACTGGATATTGCAGAACTGCCTCCTTCCTTTTTTTTCTCTTCGGTTTTCCCATTTAATGAAATATAGGAAGAATTTTTAAATTACTTATCTACAGTATGACAAGGAAGCACTACTGGCATCAGATATGGGCCTGAAGCAAAACAGACAACCTGCTGAGTTCTTTTGCAAGACTCTTACAGCTAGTGACACTAGCACTCATGGTGGATTTTCTGTGCCTCGTCGAGCAGCTGAGAAGATATTCCCTCCTCTGGTGTGTAGAAACTTTCAATATTTAGATTTCTATTTTAAGATTTGAGAGGTGTACTAAGCATCTTCCGTCTATTTTTTTCTAAGATCTAAATGATTATATTTGTTAGGATTTTTCGATGCAACCACCTGCTCAAGAGCTAGTAGCTAGAGATTTACATGACAATAAATGGACATTTAGACATGTTTATCGAGGTATTTTTCTCTTCAGGATATTGGTCTCCTTTGCTTTCACAAGCAGAGGTTTACTGGTAATATAACATAAGACTGGCTTGATCAAAGTGTTTTATGCTGCAAAGCAAACATTAATTTCTTTTTATTAATGTTTCCTAAATATATTTATTAGCTTCCTTACTGCACAAACTTTTCGAGGATAAAAGAAATTCATTTTCATAATCTTCATTACTAAAGTTTTAGGGTGATCCTAGTAACTTAGTAAGTCATATCCTAGTAACTTATTTGCAGGTCAACCAAAGAGGCACCTTTTGACTACTGGTTGGAGTGTCTTTGTTGGCTCAAAAAGACTCTTTGCTGGTGATTCTGTTCTTTTCATAAGGTAACATATATATATATATATATGTTTGTATTTATAGAAGTTCAACTAGATCATTGTCCATTTTTGCTGTTTAACTCTAATTCTTTGCTTAAATGTAGAGATGAGAAGGTGCAGCTTCAATTGGGTATAAGGCGTGCTAATAAACAGCAGCCACCTCTCTCTTCATCAGTGATTTCTAGTGATAGTATGCATATTGGGATACTTGCTGCTGCAGCTCATGCTGCAGCAAACAACAGCCCATTTACTGTATTCTACAATCCAAGGTATTGCTATAACATATTTTGCTTTTCCTTAGATTCATCGTTATAATGTAATGATCAATTTGCATTGTCAAAAAATAAGATATTAATAGGTCTGAAAATTTTTTATTAATTTTGTTAGGGCAAGCCCTTCTGAGTTTGTGATACCCTTAGCGAAGTATAACAAAGCCATGTATACCCAAGTTTCTCTTGGCATGCGGTTTAGAATGATGTTTGAAACTGAGGAGTCTGGAGTGCGCAGATACATGGGTACAATTACTGGTATCAGTGACTTGGATCCTGTGCGATGGAAAAATTCACAATGGCGCAATCTTCAGGTATTCTTTGGACATAATGACATTCATGAATACAGATGTTAGCCTTTATTGTTCCTTTGCATTATTAACATGCAAATAGTAAGCTACATCATGTTGCGTCCTTGATAGTACATTGCTCTATTTTATGGAGTGGCTATATCAATCCTCCTTTGCTGGGGCTTACATATAAGTAAACTTGGTGATGATGTCTCAGCATATGCCTTTTTGGTCTTGTATTAATAGTGAACATTAACTGACTTGCTCATTGGTCCAAGATTCTTTCCTGCTGCATGATACAGGCAGTTTTCACGTAATACTTACTAGATTTGTGTTAAAGTCAATACGTTGTTGCACAAGGAGAAAGGCCACATAGTTTCAACTTTGGTGATTTACTTTTATGTTCTCAACAGGTTGGATGGGATGAATCTACCACTGGTGAACGGCCCAGCCGAGTTTCAATTTGGGAAATTGAGCCTGTTGTAACTCCTTTCTACATATGTCCACCTCCTTTTTTCAGGCCCAGGTTTCCCAAGCAACCAGGGATGCCAGGTAATCATATCTACCAGATATATCTTGCTGTAAACATGGTCAAAGAATAGGACAATGCAAGAACTTACTTCTTATCTTTGAAAATACATTTGCAGATGATGAGTCTGATATTGAGAATGCTTTCAAGAGAGCAATGCCCTGGCTTGGAGATGAATTTATTATGAAAGATGCCCCTAGTTCAATCTTCCCTGGCTTGAGTTTAGTTCAGTGGATGAGCATGCAACAAAATAATCAGTTTCCAGCTGCTCAATCAGGATTCTTTCCATCAATGGTTTCTTCAAATCCGCTGCATAATAACCTTAGCACTGATGATCCTTCCAAGTTATTGAATTTTCAAGCTCCTCCATTACCTTCATCGAATATGCAATTTAACAAAGGAAATTTAAACCAAGTTAACCAGTTGCCTCAGGCACCTATGACATGGCCCCAACAGCAGCAACTTCAGCAATTATTGCAAACTTCTCTGAATCAACATCAGCAGCAGCAATCCCAACAACAATTGCAGCAACAACAGCCTCAACAACCACAATCACAACCACAGCCACAGCAGCAGCAGCAGCAACAACAAGCATTCCTACCAGCTCAAGTAAATAACAGAATCGTTGCTCCTAATCAAATTACAAATCAAAATTTGCATCAACCGGCTGTTTACTCTCCTCTCCAGCAGCAACAATTACTGACAAGCAATAGCCAGTCTACCCAAACTATCCTCTCTGCTAATAAGACTTCATATCCTTTGATGTCATTACCACAAGATACACAAATTCAGCAACTGATGGAACAGCAACCTAACCTTATTCATAGGCAGCAGCAACAGACCCAGTTGCAGCAAAGCCTGTCCCAGAGGACACAGCAGCAGGCGCAGATTCCACAATTGTCACAGCAGGGCCTCTCAGAGCAACAGTGTCAATTACAACTGTTACAGAAATTGCAGCAACAGCAACAGCAACAGCAGCAGCAGTCGTATCAACAATTACTCTCCCCAGCTGGATCACTCTTGCAGCCTCCAACGGTGCAGCAACAGTCAACTCATCAACAAAACCAACCATTGCAGCAGTTGCCTCCTTCTCAGAGTCAGACTCAACCACTTGGAAGCAATAGCTTCTCAACATCAATGCTCATGCAACCTCAACAGCTTTCAGTGAACCAACCCCAATGTCAGAACAAGCCACTTATGGCTATGAGAACCCATTCAGGTCTTACTGTTGGAGATGCTCCATCATGTTCAACCTCACCTTCTACCAATAATTGTCAGGTTTCCCCATCAAACTTTCTAAACAGAAGTCAGCAAGTACCATCCATATTGGCGACTGATCCAGTTGTTGAGCCTGCAAGGACACTGGTTCAAGAGCTTCAGGGCAAGCCTGATATGCAAATCAAACAAGATCTTCCCACCTCTAAAGGACCAGACCAATCAAAGTACAAAAGTACTGTGACAGATCAATTAGAAGCATCCTCTTCTGGAACATCATACTGCCTGGATGCAGCCACCATCCAGCACAACTTCTCCCTCCCTACATTTCTGGAAGGTGATGTCCAATCACATCCTCGGAACAATCTTTCTTTTACAGCTAATATCGATGGATTCACACCTGACACTTTGTTATCAAGGGGATATGACTCTCAAAAGGATCTTCAAAACCTGCTTTCTAATTATGGTGGCAATCCAAGAGATATTGACACAGAGTTGTCTACTGCTGCAATAAGTTCTCAGTCGTTTGGTGTGCCAAACATACCTTTCAAGACTGGGTGCTCAAATGATGCTGCCATCAATGAGACAGGAGTTTTAAATGGCGGATTGTGGGCCAACCAGACTCAACGCATGCGAACGTATACAAAGGTATGTAACCCCACTAATTATGGTCATGCTGATTACCTCATTTATTCTCTTTTTCTCGATATGTTGTGATTTGTTGAGAGAAAAGGTAGATTTTCTTCATACTTCCTATTGGGGCTTGAGCTGAGGGGAGTCATTTTGCAATCACATAAACTGGCATGGTTGGAACTAAATTGCTAACAGTGCCAGTTTTAAACCATGTAATTTTGGGACTACCTATTTTGTGGACCTCGAAAATAGGAATAACCTATGTTCAGTATAATCAGATATTTGAACCTCATAATTTGAGACTTGATAGTTTCTAAACTCTAAACATGAGTTGAAGTTGAATAAAGAAGTATTGTTTTTTGTTTCATCAGTCTGTGATACATATATGTCACAAAGGTGAGTTTTGTAGTTTCAGCTAAAATCATGTTGTAGAACATTTGTTTGGCTTTTCCCTTGTTTAAAAACTTGTTTTCACCTTGCATCTGAGGAAGGCTGTAAGTATTGTTGATCCTGCAGAGTCTTAGCATATTTAGGGTAATTTGCCCAAGAGTTATGGATAACTTTTTGTGACTACTTAGATTTCCTTTTGCAATTGAAAATCTTGCTCAAATATTTCACCTTCAGTCTTATTATCTTTTGCATCTTGTAATCCTAATCTAGAAATCCTTGACTCGCTTCATATTGTATTAATTTTATGGAAATTTACACTGCTATGGTACTAATTAAAACCTTTCCTCATTATACCATGATCAATTCTCTATATCTTTTGCTGAAAATTTCTAAATGTTTGGTGCTGGTTTGAACTGATGAAGGTGCAAAAGCGTGGCTCTGTAGGAAGATCAATTGATGTTTACCGCTACAAAGGGTATGATGAACTCAGGCATGATCTAGCCCGCATGTTTGGTATTGAGGGGCAGCTGGAAGGTCCGCAAAGTTCTGACTGGAAATTAGTTTATGTGGATCATGAAAATGACATCTTACTTGTTGGTGATGATCCTTGGGAGTAAGTGAAAAACCCCAACTTTAACTATAACTTCTAGTTTATCGTCTTTTTATTGATCCTCAACTTTCTTACTTTCAAATTGTTTGCAGAGAATTTGTAAGTTGTGTTCAGAGCATAAAGATACTGTCATCTGCTGAAGTCCAGCAGATGAGCTTGGATGGTGATCTGGGAAATGTGGCAGTTCCCAATCAAGCTTGCAGTGGGACTGACAGCGGAAATGCATGGAGAGGACATTATGAAGATACCTCAGCTGCCTCATTTAACAGATAAAGTCTCAAAATTCAAATACAAAATCAAGCTGATATTATCTTCTGCCATTAGACTTTGCTCGGGCTCGTCGTTGAATCTGGTGTATGTCTATTCACTTAAAAGGATAAAATTTACTCGAGTCCTTCCACGAGAAGCGATTGACCTGGGTGATTGACCCTCTATAAAGTTCGCAGATTGCAGATGTTAAATTCTAAAACCACTGCCGTGAAGTTGGCAGAAGGATCATGTTTTAACTTCAGCATCCACTTTTTGACTTTGGCCTTTGTTGGTAGTTCTATGGTGAGTTAAAAGGTGCAGAAGGGAGTAAGAAGAAAGGGACCCATTGATGTATGATATAACCATATCTACAGCTGATCTGACATTCTCTCCTGTATGTAAATGGTATGATGTAGAGAGCATATTATCCGCAAGATGCGTAGCAGGGATTGTAGCTATTACTCGGCAGATTCAATTTTAGCATCAAATTTTATTCATATTGCAGCGAATGCTTCCTCCCACCCGTTTCTGCTAATTTTGTGAACAACATGAATAATACATTATACCCTACTCTCTTTTCGTGAGAAATAAGTAAATTTTATGGCATGTACCAACAGCTTAAACCTAGCGCTGTTAAAGGGATTAGTAGGTAGTGATTCAATCTGATAAAAATTCTTCAAAACATCAGAAAACTTCAAATTGCATGTGTATGTATTGAACCCTTTGTGCCCAAACGTTCCCACGTAACTACCTAGCAACTGGACTTACGAAAACAAAGCTGCAATTATTTAATACTGAAGGAAATAAAATTACAAAATCCTTGTGATTGTTATCAGACAACTAACGCACATCTAACGCACATTTTATTCGACAACTAAGAGAGCACAGCCAGTACATCAGATGCTCTCAGAGCAATATAATTAGTACCATCACTGCCCTTTAAGTCATTGCCTGAATACTTGGAATACATGACGGTGTTTCCTGGGGCAACTAATAGTGGCTTCCTGTTACCTTCCTCATCCAAAGCACCAGGTCCAACAGCTATCACCTGTTTCATTCAATAAAAGGTATAAGTAAATATCTAGTACCATTGCAGAAAGCTATATGCCCTTTCCGGCAAGATTATAACTGTTCCTCACCATGCCAATGGAAGGTTTTTCCTTGCTTGACTCTGTCAGCAACAAACCTCCAGCAGTTTTCTCCTCAGCTTCTGCAACCTACAACCAACATTCAAACACAACATTGAGTGCCTCCAAAGTCCATGTAACACAGCAGTATCTGTAACATGATATTCAATTAGAAAAGAAGACCCTAACAGAAACCTCTTAGGGAGGTCCAAACACTTGGGTACTAAAAAGAAACTGATTCAACCAAATAAATAGCAATCCATGATTACCCGGATTATTAATCTAAACTTTTAACTGTAACACTACATAGCAACCAAACTAACAGATTTTGAATGAATATGAAACCTTGATAAAAACTCTGTCCTTCAGAGGCTTGAGATCTTTGATGTCATCTGTTTCAAGAATCCCAACAATATCATCCTCCTTCAGGATGAGATGATTTGAGCCATTGAACTCAATCTCAGTTCCAGCATACTTAGAGTATATGACCTGGGCACCAGTCTATACAAACATAGCATTGTGTAAGTACATGCAACAAATAGAAAAACTGGGAAGAATATCTACTCTTTGAAATCCACCTTGACAGAGCATTCCAATTTGGTCTTCCTCATTGTTTTCTCCTCACCAACAGCAACCACCTCACCTTCTTGAGGCTTTGATAGAGCTGTTGTTGGAAGCAAAATGCCACCCTCAGTCTTCTCCTCTGCTTCTTTGATCTTCACCAACACTCTATCACCCAAGGGCTTAATTGAAGTGTACTGCATATAGCAATAAGATCATGCCATGTAAGCAAAAGTAGTAGCATATAGACAAGGATTTTGTAGGGATCGTCAAAATTATCATCTTCACTACACTAATGGGATGCAGATTTATCTATTTTTGGAGCACCTATAAGACAATAGCAACAAATTCATGTCCAGTCCCATTCATCTTGAACGTGCTGAAAATATAAAATACATACAATGCACTTCAATCGGCGTTTTATTCTAAAGTAATCGAAATTCAAATATTTGAATACACAAGGCAATAAAATATAAACATACTTCAAAAGCCCCTAATTTCCATAAATTGACCTGCTCAAGTTTCAATCTAAAAAATCTAATCACTCCAACAATTCTTTAGCATTTGAGAATAACACAAAACAATGGCAATAAAATTCCAAGAAAGTTAAATTTCCACAAGTGAAATATTGAATCAAAACCATCACAACCATATTAGTCAACACCAGTAAACATCTTAACATGAATGTGAAACACTTGCGAAAAAACTGGTTCACAAAATCTAAACGTTACCCATCAACCAAAAAAAAAAAGCACCAATAAAATTACAACAGGAACAACCTTAGGAGCAACAACGGTAGCCGCTTTTACAACCAAACCCTTAAAGGACCTGTGGGTCAAAGCCCCAGGCTTTAATGCTCCAAAAGAAGAGAACTTCACAGTGGATAGTCTTAGCCCTTCAAATGAAGCCAAATTCCTTGCTGACACTGTCATTGATGATGCTGTTAGCTGAGATGTTGCCATTCCTGTATTTAGATTTCCCAAAACACAAACCAACGTTCAATTCTTGCAACCAATTTTTCTTAAAATGAAAAAAAAAAAAAAAAAACTATACCTTGAAGACAAAAAGATTATACCTTTATGAGAAAAATGTGGGTTTTGGTGGAAGCTCCTGAGAATGATAAGGGTTGGCTTGGTTGCTTGAAACTGGAGAAGTCTAAAGAAGATAAAACCCTAGGGTGTCAAGATGAGTTTTTTATTTATTGACAAGAGACTAACACTAGAGTTTTTAGGACAACGATTGATGACCACGCGCCTCACTCTACAGAGCGGTTTGGTTGGGCTCCTAGCAGTCCTAGCCGGATATATCAAGTCCAAGTAAAATTAAAAAGAGGGACTTAGGAATGAAACGGGTTAAGCTAAACCCGCCCGGACAAAAGGTTGTGGATATGAATACTAATAGCCCACGCGCTTTAGGGGAACAGGAAGGAGCAACACACTAGAAGGAAAGAAACCAACGACGACAAGGCAGAGGTTTCTGGAATGGGAAAAATATAATGCTATCCTTTGCAATGTCGCGTCAAAGGCTCAAAGGCTCGTGTAAACCTTATGGGCTCTGGCGTGAAAGATCCGGGCCTTACCCATTGCCATTTACTGCTGTGCCTTTCTGTTTTTTTTTGGGTCGCTAACTTTTGGCTGGAAAACTGTTTCCTTTGTTGAAATGGTTCACAAAATTTTGTAGAGAAGATTATTAGTTGATTAATGATTTTTTAATAAAAATTTTATAAACTTCATCTAAATATTCCCCTACGGCTATACTCTTATGAACTATGTAATTCATTTACCAAAGAAGAAGAGATTTTGTATAATTGGAAAAATTAAATTCTTGATATGGTTATCAATAAGGAGAAGTTCTACCTACTGAGAGGATTACTTTTCTTTGAAATTAATCCCCCGAACAAGGCATACTGTTGGCATTTTCTTCGAAATTTCTTCTGTTTCAATCCCGAGGCCTTAGCCCCATCCATCTTCTTAGAAGTAAGAAAGGTCAATGAAAACACATTGAAATCTAGAAGATGTACGGCCAGTGAAACACAGGGTCGTGTTGAATTCTATCGAAGAATATTCAAAATTCGATTTTAATCAAATTAATTAATTTAATTTAATTTAATTAATTTAATTGATTATTAAATTAATTTTAATTAATTATAAAAAATGATTTAAAATTTTTTTTAATTTAAATTAATTCAATTTTAAAATCGAATTAACTAAAAATTTAATCAAAAATTATAAAATCTAGATATAAAATAAAAATATATAAATTTATCTATTTTATTTCAAGTTATTAAAATTTTTAATTTAATGTTTTGATATTTAAATATTTTTATTGGATAATTTTATTTAATTTATTTTACGTATGAAAAAAATAAAATTTAAAATAAAATTTAACTTAATGTATTTTATTATTTGATTAATTAAAAAATTAATTTAATTAATTTTAATCAATTAATTTTTAAAATTAAAAAATTAATTTGATTAATAAAAATAAAATAAAATAATTTAATTAATTCAATTCAAAATTAATTGAATTGATAAAATAAATATCCTAATTATTATAACAAAATGAGCAATGGATACCCACTTTCCAGTAGCTGGATTTTGCCCCTCGCGGTCCCCATTCACTTTTATTCTCTAACCAACCTGTCTAGAGTTCCCGCGGGTGCCGGTTCGACCTTGCCGTGTAAAAAACTTTCAGTGACAATTCTAATAAAGCTGAGAGCTAAGGATAACTCTTAGAAGTAGGAACAGAAGAGAAAAAAAGAATGAATTTGAGCATTTATTAATTGTTTGACCAAAGGATATAAAGGGAATTGTGGGAGAAATCAAAGTTTCCGAGAAGCTGGGATTTTTAGGTGATTGTCAACTTTGACAATTGGAATTCAGTGAACAGCCGTAGTAGAAAAGGCATGTTGAAACATCCTTTCCGAGTAGCCACAAACGAATGGCAGCTCCGTTCTTTGGCCCTTCGGAGCTAGGTAAAAACAGTCAAAGCTGGTGAACAAAATTATTTTTTATTATATTAAATTAACAAAATTATTTTAATATTTTTAAATAGAAATTCAAAATGTAAAAACAAAAAATTAAAACTTATAATTATAAGATAAAAATGAGAAAAAAAAATCATTAGGGTAAAATCGAAAAAAAAGGGCAATGAGATTATATAATTTCCACTGGAGCTAAAAAGCTCCGATTGTTCATTGCACTAACCTTGCCTTAGAGATTGCATCCAAACAACAGCATGTTTGCATTTAAACTGAAAAAATTAAGTAAATCTCATCTCACTGATGGTTCAGTGAGATTCAAAGCAAGCCTAAATATGTCAACTTTATTGCTAAACAAAAATTGGAATTATGACTTATTGGCAGAGGAATTTACTTTTACACTAGAACGCTCTCTTAGCTAATAGTACTTATATCATTATAAAATTAATTTAATTTTACATCATTTTATATCTTTTTTTATATGATTTATATTTTGTTAATTCAATCATTGAATTTTATTTTTGATTTATGTAAATTATACATATCAAAATTTTAAATTAATAAAAAATCTAATTGTTTATTCAATAAAATACAATTGCAATTGTTAATATATATTAAAAAATTTTATTTTTATCAAAATAATAAAAATATCGAATAAATTCCAAGTTTTACGTGTATGATCAATATGATCAATACAAATAAATTGTTAAATCTAAATAATTATCTATTTATAAAAATATCAATCATATATAAAATTATAAGAAATATGTAAAATAATTTATTTTTAACATATTAACTTGATCCCTCTATTTTTTAAGGAAAAGTTTTCATGATCCAAGTCAAATGGATAAATTATTTGACTCCTAATTAATCTTGAATTGTCTCAACAATTATAATCCTACTTTATTTTTTCCAATTCAAATTCCCTATTAGGTCTTGAACCTCAAACTAACTTTGGGAAATTAAATCAGAGGCCCAATTAATTATTCACTGCTAGATATAAAAAAATATTATTAAAGATTAAAAATATACTAAAATAATAAATAAAGAATAGGTGCTCGGCCAAAAGAAAGAAAAAAAAATTTTTTTGAGGATGAATTGGGGCACGGGTAATACAAGGCCCACGTGCTGGAAACATTCCCGCGTAGCAACGTCATAGGTCATCATTCTGACGCCACATGTCTATCTTTGGTCGCTTTACGGCTTCCAAGCTCCAAAATCAACGCGCCTCTCTTACTTTGACTGATCGAAACTCTTAGTTTGAGACTGACTATCCATCCATCTTCACCCAGTAGGCGGCTCTCATTTCCATATATAAGAGAGCCGCAAATTCCCCTATTCCTCAATCTCAAAGCAGAGCAACAATCAAAATCTCCTCTGCAACCAAACCACTACTATTACACTACAGTGCTAGTACTTACTATCAATTTCAAAGAAGAAGAACAATGGTGAAACACATAAGCGAGAAACCTGCAATTGAGAGATGCGATTCACGATTCAAAGGTGTTCGAAAGCGAAAATGGGGGAAGTGGGTGTCCGAAATCAGACTACCCAACAGTAGGGAAAGGATTTGGTTGGGATCTTTTGACACCGCAGAGAAAGCAGCGCGTGCTTTCGACGCCGCTCTTTTTTGCTTACGCGGCAGCTCTGCTAAGTTCAACTTCCCTGATAACCCACCGGAGATAGCCGGTGGTAGGTCTTTGACACCGTCCGAAATCCAACTCGCTGCTGCACGCTTTGCGAACTCCGAGCCTCCAAGGACCCATTCAGACCAGTCCGCCTCTGGGTTTCAAACGGAATCCCCTTCACCGTCGATTTCAGACGGGACAGTACAGTTCGAGGGTGAGTTGCCTATGGACGGGTCGTTCCTGGATCTTTTGACAATGGATTTGGATAATTACGCTTCGGATTATGGGATATTCCCTGGATTCGATGACTTTTCAAGTGATTTTCTCGGATCATCGGTGCCTAACATCGGCTGTGAAGAGGATAATTTTGATGGGATTTTAGTTCCAGATTCTTTTCTTTGGAATTTCTAAAACGAATCAATCTAATTCTGGGCATTTTAGTATCCAGAGTTGGATCCGAAGATTTGGAGAGGCCAAATTTTTACGGCCCATTCTTTTTTTGCTCATTCTCCGAAAGAATTATATTCAAATTATTGTTTTCATATAGTTTAATCGAAGAAGATTGTAAAGCAAAGCCATGAAGATTTTTTTTTTGAAATTTTTAATTAACTCCTACAGTTTTCTTCCTTTATTATTTAATTAGTTAAAAAAAAATTACATGCATAAATTTTTTTAAATTCATAATTTTTATATATTAATTTTAACAACATGTAAATTAATTCAAAACATAATTGACTATTAAAGGTTGTTGTTTTTTTTTTTTTTTTTATAAGTAAAAAAATGATTGTCGGGATAATAAGTTAAGAAATGCCGTTGATCTCTCCTTATAATCGCAAGGCCAACGCAGTGCCCAAGCTGTCATGACTCCGGATTAAAAATAAGTCTCTAAACCTACGAAAATGTCTATCCATTTTCTATTGATGACTCCTTTGACATCCACAAATTTGATGAAAAACAATAATAAAATAGAGTTTATTTTTTGTACATTGTCGAAAATTACAATTTGATAATTAGAGAATTAGAATTATAATAATGGTTTGGACTTAATCATTATTATTTTAGGGATAACATTTTAAACTTTGAACTTCTTTATTAGCCAACGAAAATTGACAAAAATAATAAGAGATAGATATTGGGTTTGAATTTTTTCACGATCTTTCATTAATAAATGATTTATATGTTTAAAAAAATTCACAAATAAAATTTCAAGGATTCATAAATCCTAATTAAATTGATTTACGGCTTGCTTTTACTTTTTGAAATGGTATAACTTTCCTTGCTCTTAAAATTAAAAAAAAATTATTTATTGTGTAACATGTTATAATTTGATTATATATATATATATATATATACACACATATAATTAAATAATTATTTCATTCCTACCACAGAGTTTTTTTTTTTTTTTAAATTTTGATCAGCAAAAGATTTTACTAGTTTAGTCAGACGGTACATTCACATTTCTTTTTCTCCATTCATATATGCTCGTTTTCAATCACCATGTCCATGGATCATGACAAATAATGAAACATCAATAAGTGAATAAAAAATAAAAAATGCGGCGCTGTAAAATCTTTTGGTCCTAAATTTTTGTTGTGCTTTTTCGCAGCTTTCTACGAACAAGAAACAAGAAGCACCCAAAATGAAAACTGCCATGACACAAAAATTACAACCAAAATCTTTGGAAGTTCTTATTGTTAGGACCGGAAGATGTTCAATCGGTTAAAGTAACACTGTGTTGTCCATATATTTGACAGATTTTTTGGTGTTAAATGACGACTATAGAGTCTTCGTCTATTGTCAACTTTTGAGTTATGGGACAAAACCAAAAATTTTTATTATTAATTATAATAAAAATTATATATAAAATCATCATTTATCCATTAGTACCATTAGTATTCCTATGGCTGCTCACTGTTGTCCACACGGAAATTCTTTCACTTTTCATCCACCAACGACTCAAGTTGGGCGAAATCTACAACGACACAACAATTTCCCCATCAAAGTTTGGTAAAAATGAATTTAATTTGACCTTCTAGAAAATCAAGGAATAAATAGAACTTTATGATCAAAATTGTTTTTAAAAAATTATAAAGATCTTAGTTTTGAATAAAAATTCAAAATTCGAAAATTTCTAGTATTTTTTTAAAAGGTTATGCGTGTCTTATATATTAAAAAAAACTTTGCTTAATTTGAAATTTTGGATAAATCTTATATAAAATTTGTTAGACAAAATTTATAAAATTTATTTTTAAAAATGAGTTAATAAAAATTTTAATAAAAAATTTAAATTATTATATCAATAGAATTTAATATAAAAATTAATAATATATAAAAAAATAAAAATATTATTTATAATTTAAATTTAATCGATATTTATTTAACGATAAAAATTTATCAATATTTTTATTAAAAATATTTATTTAAAATAAATATCAAAATTTATTAAAATTTTCACACTTAATCTATATAATAAAATCCTCAAATCTATTAATTTTAATTTAATTATTTTTAATTAAAAATTTTCATTTAATTTTTTTTCACATTTCCTACATTCTCCACGTTTCCATTTCATCACACATGTAATAAAATCTTCCCATGAGTTGATCCAATCCAAATCCAACGGTTGTTAAGCTTCCACGTCGTATTCCACATTCCCATCACCGAAAAATCGCGGCGGCATTTCCTCTTTAATTTTGTACGTGGTAGTTCCCCTTCTTACGTCTCCCAGCTTTCCTCTTTTGCAAAATCTCCCTTTCGTTTTTTCTGTTGGATAATAATACATACATAGAAAACAAAAGGAAAGGAAAAAAAAATTAAGGAGAAGAAAAATGGTGAGGCCGAAAAGGGAGAGGGACGACGGGGTTAATCATAATGGTAACGGCCGATACAAGGGTGTACGGATGAGGAAGTGGGGAAAATGGATAGCCGAAGTACGGCAACCGAATAGCGGAGGAAGAATATGGTTGGGTTCTTACAAGACAGCTGAAGAAGCTGCGAGAGCTTACGACGCTGCCGTTTTTTGTCTGCGTGGGACTTCGGGCAAGCTTAATTTTCCCGACAATCCTCCGAATATAGCGGACGCCAGTGAGTTGACGCCTGCCCAAATCCAGGAAGCGGCATCCAGGCACGCGCATACGGTTACTGAAGGAGCGGAAGCGAGAGAAGAGATGGCGGCGGCTGGGAAGTCTTACGCAGCAGAGTGTTATTTGGATGATGGCAGTGTTGGAGATGGGTCGGCCAGAGCTTATTATCACTCGCCTAGTGATTCGACTTTCTAGCTCTACGAGTTTCCGGTCTCTTTTTTTTTTCTTTGTTTTTTTCTACTCCCTAAAATATTAGTTAGAAACTGGTTTTTCCAAGGTTTTAGATGCAAAGTAATACCCACAATCCTGCATCACTCAATCCGAATGTTGCCTATGATACATCAATGCTACAGCTTGGCCTCCCAGCACATGCCTAGAAAAGAAATTTTATAATTATAAATACTCCATAAATTACTTTATAAATCGAATTTTTTTCATAGTATGATATTAAGGGTGTTTGTGATTACCTTCTCCACTGCAGCCAAGCTGTTTGTGGCTTCGAAGGAACTTGCCTTGTATGAGCTACTTGATTCCCGGGGGCCTCCAAAGCTTGCAAACTGGATATCCGCAATAGTTCGCCCTGCTTGGCATGACAATTTTAATGTGCTGCCCTCATATGCATAACCACACAATTTGTTCCTATCGTCACAATCTGGAAAGAAATGTCTGTACTGTTTCCACTGTCTTCCTTTAATGGAATCAATGTGTTTGTGCCATTGTTGTCGAGGAATGATCTCGGAATGTGGTACTCGATAAAGCAAACGATAAAGTATTTTTACCGTCTTTGGGAAGGAATGCCACGGTTTGTCCTGCATCTCTCGTCCTTATATTATATCCGCCCCGTAATCGCATGTGTCACTGCATCCATTAGCATCGGCTATTTGTGTTTGCCAGTAGCGCTCAATGCTGTTTCCATTTACCCAGGCGAGCCTCTTGCCCGTGCCTTGCAAGTCCACCCCCACTGGTTCTGCACCGAAAGGAGCCTGGAAATTGGTCTGGACACAGAACTTAGATTTATTAGAACTTAAAGAAAAAAGAAGGGAAAACAGAAAAAATTAAAAGAAAATTTTGAAAGTAGTATCTTATTCCAAGTCATAGGTCTGCCAATGGGAACTTTATCAGCAACAACAACTTTCCCATGTGGTAATTTTGGATCGTAGAGACGTTTGGCTAATTCACCAGTTAAGCCAACCTTCACCCGAGAAACAATGAGATGAGTTTACCCGGAAAAAATTAAAAAGAGAGAAAGAAAATTACATTACCTTATAAAATCAGTTGCTCGATGTAAGATCAATAGTCTTTTTGGCATAGTTGACCAACTGTACTGACTCACCTACTAAGCCAGTAGGTTTCAAGTCGAACTTCTCACCATAGTTCTGCCAAATTGAAACAGTGATAAGAAATTCTGTTTTCAACTGTTTTTAAGATTGGACTTATCCATGAAAAAAAGAGAATGCTTATGAACTTGGCTTTGATGCTAGGATGATTTAGCTGTTATTCATACTAAAGTGGTGGGGAAGCTCATACCGCCAATCCAACTGTGGCCCTGGCGCTAAAGATATGGTGTTGGCCCCCGGGTTGAGAGAAACGGGTTTCTCGAATACAAAGCTATAATCATCACCATTAATTGGTCATTTGTTGACCATTGGGTTGTTTGGAGAATTGGTTACCAGTTGTAGCAGCAAACATCGAGTGAAGAAGAGGTGAGATTCCCGCAAGGCTGGCGTTTGATTTGATCTCTAGCATTTGCCATTTTTTCTTCATCAGTTTCTCCTAAAACTCCTATATACCAATAAAAAAGTTGGAAATTATTACTCCAAAAACTGAAACCATTTGCACCGGTCTACACCAGATCAAAATTACCCGTAAGATTTTTGTTCGCATAAAGCACCAAGTGCATGGCCATTGGTGCTGACGCGCAGGGATGCATTTTTCCAGGAATTATAAATTGTTTTATTGATATCAACACTGTTTCAGATTTAAAAAAAAAAAAAAAACTTGGGTATCACTCCATCCCTGGTAAAGAGAAATGCAGGAATGATTATGTCTTGTATCACAACTCCACAAGTACACTGATATCAAAAGTTGCCTCTTTCTGGTCAAGAAGAACTGTTGCTCTAAATCCACCCTTTCCCTTTCCTTGGAGGGTGTATCTCATGGCATCTGGAGCCTACAACCAGGTGAGTGTAGGAGCTTTGCTCTTCTGTCTCAGGTACATCAACATCCCCCTCATCTCCCTCGTTCACATCACCACCTGCTACCTCATCTCGTCCTTAATAGTTTAGCTTCCTTATCATTACAGAGGTCAGACTGCTAAGCTGTAGACAATAATATATACAAATACAATATATCCATTGTTAGCATTATTGCTTTGGCTGTGGCCTACGAACATTTAGGCAACTTCATATGGCAATTGTGAAGGAAGAAGTGAAATCAATCTCTCCTACCTTTGCATTGAATATTTCCTTGTTGCAATTATGAAGAATACTAACTGTTTGTGCCGAGCTCCGACTAGAAGGTAATCCTGTAAAGATAGAAGAGAGGAACGGTTAGAGACAAGGGCAGAGCGTGTTTTCTGCGTTTGCACTTCAACGTGTAAGTTAGTAAAGATCAGGTTGGAAAAGAGGTGAGAAAGTGAAAAAAAGAGAGAAAGGTATGAGTTAAATGAATATGGTTTCATAGTGCCTGAGTTTCCATATTTATAAGTAAGCCGAAAGGGGACAAAATGAATATGGTTTCATAGTGCCTGAGTTTTCATATTTATAAGTAAGCCGAAAGAGGACAAAAATGGGACAATTAGAACAAGGTCGAGTTGAGGTGGCACTTGAAGTGTCAAACTGACTTGACATGTTAGGTCAGCACAAATAACCAAGATACCCTTGGTCGTCTGTTGAAAATTGAATGAGAAAAAAAGATCACTATACACTTTTGACCATTATATGCCCTTAACACTTTGTCCTTCTATCAAGCGGTCTAAGCATCAAATCGTTGAATTTGTTACCAACGTCCCTGGTGTAGGGCAAGTGGTTGCATAATTTGTCAAAAGTCAACGTTGTAGGGAGAAGTCAGTTCTAAATGACGAGTAGCTTTGAGCTATGGTTCAACTTGATGGTTATCTGATCGTGCACATGTGTTTCGGGATGAGTGTATAATCGATTTAAAAGTTATCAAGGTGACAACTATCTGGGGTGATTCGAGATTATTGCTAGAGGTTATATGGCCATGTCGAGACTTGTGTTTTCTTTCAAAAATTTGGGCTTGAGCCTTTATTTTGAACCCTGAAAGTGAACCGAGCTCTCAGTTTACCTCTAACAGTCTTTCAATTCGACTGGTCTAATATGAGGTTCATTCAATTAGGTTGGTTTGATAGCATTAAATAAGGAGAGATAAGATTTGAATAAGGAGATTTTAAGTAGGAAGACAAAAGACATCTATATATTCATTCTTTGACACATGGTGAGGATCGTGCCGTACCTCTGGGTTGAAGCGCGTTTATATCAAAGGGCTTGTGGGGTTTCAGCTTTCCATCTTTTGTTTTTTTTTTTTTTTTGCTTTTGATCCGACCTAAAATTTTCAATCTCTATAACTTTCTTGCCTTCCAAGTTTTTTTCTACTTTCACTTCATATGTATTTCAACTATGTCTTCTAGTATGAGTTCTGAAGGGGTCGGGAGCTATAGGATAGAGTCAATAAGAGGTCAGCAAGAGCAACGAGATGATGACTTGATCCCCCATATTATTAGAGGTTACAACTTTACGAAGACGGCCTATTGGTTCAATCTGAAGTCTAAGAAAGGGTAATGGTGCAAAGAAAAGAATGCTTGGGCAAGAGGTGGTGAGTTTTGAACACTAAAAAGCTATGTGCTCAGATTGATTTTGAACTTCAAAATCCACTTGCTTTCCTTATCTCTTAGGTTGATCCATCTTCTATGACTGACCTTACTTCCTCTTTAGGTATTCCCCCTTCTAAGCTTCAATCTCTTCCACCTCATGCCACTTTTACTCTCCTCTCTCAATCAATTTTTCTTGACATCTTGTTCTTTCCTAAGTGGTCTTCACCTTTTCTTTCTTTCTCTGAGATTGAGCTACTTTCATCCACTATTCTTTCTCAAGATCTATCTCTCACTCCAAAGTCAGATGCTTCTGACGAGAAGGGTTTCAAAGAAGAACAAGAGAAAATGAGTACCTTAGTCAAAGAAAGTGATGGTGAGAGGTAAAGTCCTATAGAGTAGGATGAACTCGTCGAGGTCCTTATATATACTCCGTGTGACCTCAGCGTAATCCTTAAGGACATGATGAGTGAGCCAAAAGGTAGAGCAAATCTCGACAACTGTCTTAATATGTGCTCAGCTCATCATGTTCAAGCTTTAGGTACTGCTTTCTTTTTTCCTAAAAAAAGGTATAGTATAATAACGTCAAACTTTTTAAACCGAGTCACTGATAGATTAAAGCCACATCGACTATATGTATATTGGGATTTGTTCATGGTTGATCTAAGATTTTTACTTTATATTTTATTCATTTCAATTTTTAATTCTCATAATTTAATAATCACTCAGCTCACCCCTAATTTTGTTCAATACATAGTCTCTTTTGTCATCCTTTCTAACATTTAAATATTTTTCCTTCTCTTATTTTATTTAGGGAGTTATTTTCTATTAAAAAATATTCTAGTAATAGTATGTGATTTTATATCACAGCTTGGCTAAATAAAAAGATTCTCGTCGATTGTCCAAACTCAATAAAGAATTAAAAGTTGCTTTTTATATGCCTTGAAAAATAAAAAGCCAATAAAGATGGTAAGCCCAAGGTTGAGGCTTGAAAAATAAAGAGTACATTCAATTTCTTTGTAGATGCGTCATGGCCTTCTCTATCCTTGATCTATCAGATCAGGATAAAATTTTAGATTTTACACGTTAAGGGAGCTCATTATCGACACTCATGGGCTGACCTACTCGGAAGTAATAAATAATACAAAGTATTAAGGTAAGTTTGAGGTAACTTCATCAAGTTTTGTTTTGAGTTGAAGTTTCACCTAACTATTAGCTCGATTTTCCAAATATGGCTGAAACTGGAGAAGACTTTAATGTCACCTTATACCAACATGCCTCAAGGCCCAATAAGAGAAAAAAAATCCATCTTGGGGCCCCATTGTGTGAGGGAGACAAAGTGGTCAGCAAAACCATACCCTGCGTTCTACTAGGTCAAAAATTAAAAGCCAGGGTAAGTCGGGACTTGTCCCCCACATAAGCATGAACGCCATTCTTTTAGCCAAAAGACTATGGGTGGAGGTGTTATTCACTTCTCCTGAAAAACCCTGAGGCTAAGGTGCTAAAACCTAGTTCAAAAAGGATAACTGTGAGGTTGGAGTTTGCTCCAATAGATGACCCCAACTCTAACCTTGATGTTGCTAGAAGGTTCTGCAAGGTCGTAGTTCTTCATCTTGATAAAAAATTTTATGACTTCAACTCGGTGTAGACATCAAATTTATCTGAGATTTTTAACCCGATTTTAATTTTTGGACTAAGACCTGATTTAGCTGAGACCCAATTTAGACCTAATCAGGCCTGAAGCCCGATTTCATTATTTAGGCCCAAAACCTACCCCTTTTTTATTTTATTTCTTTTTTTCACATTAATATTAATTTATCAATTTTACATAAAAAAAAAAAACAAAGGCAAAAAAAATAAAAAGAAAAAACAAAATGATTGGTGGTAGTGGGTGTCGTGCATGGCATGATTGCCACCATATGCACCTCTCGTAACCTACTGTAGTGCCCATTCCTCTGCCTTCAGCATCAAACCTACCTTGAAGCACCCATTTTATCTAAAAAAACACCCTTGTACTAACACAAAAGAGGAAAGCCCTCAAAACCTGGATCCTATCCTAGCTCAGCCCCAACACCCTGTGCCTAACCTTAGTTCCCAGCCTTTATGCACAAGGTTTTAGGCAATCGCACCCACACATACTCCCATCCCCCTTGAGAGACCTAGAGACCATGCCTTATTCCAGACCCTTTCATCCGAGCACCTAAACCAAGCCCAAGCAACACCTACACATGATATCAGCCATACCCACAGTCTCTACGCCAAACAAACACCAAAAAAAAAAGATACATCCTAAAATTAAAAAAAAATTTGTTAAAAAAAATCACAGTCCTCACAAATTCGATGAAGAACCCAGCACCAAAGCCTTCCTACAAAAAAAAATTAGCTTAGCTTTTAATATAAAAAAAAAGGTTTGACTAAATCTTTAAGGTTCGATTTAGGACGCTTCAATGAGATTCGGACGAAACTAGGCCTAGATCTGAAAAGAAAGAGGTGAGAAGAGTTTGTGAGCAAATTTTAAAATTTT